TGCTTGAGTAAGTTTGTTCTCTACTCTTCTTCTACGATTAGTTTTGGTTAAATACAGCAATGGCAACAGTTGAGGAGAATCTTCGCTGTTTATTGCTTAAAAGGAAACTCTCTCTATCGCCCCCTTGAGTTCGGAGGTTTGTCAGTGTTTGCAATGCATTCCCATCTTAAATATATTTGTAGCCCAAGGATGAAGGCAGTAGAGTGTTTGCTTGACCACATCTGTGGAGAACGGATGCGTTTTTGTGTGTTTAGAGTTCATCTGGGGCACTGGCCTCATTTTCTCTTCCTCCATGCCAAGACCATTTGAATAAATACTGGGAGCAGATCTATTTGCATAGTAAGATATCCAAAAAGGGAGTCCGTTCTCGTCCTATTTTTGGCCCCCTTTTTGTTTTTGCTTATTGTTGCAGAAGATTCACATATGCTGCACGAGCGCATTAATATATTTCAGCCAACAGATGGACTTGACGCGCATGCGGCGGCTCCGATTCCTTCGCTCGTACATCCGCAAACCCCACACACGTTCGCTCTTAGGGCCCGGCGCGCAGATGAAAACAGGTTTGAACATACTGTATTATCTTTTGAATTGATCTGCATGACACTGTCTGCTAAAGCTGAGTCGGTGCCAGATTCCAGAGGGGCGGTAGAGCAGGAAACAATAATGCTTTGTCTGTTGAACACTGCAGCCCTCTGCCTGACATCAAGCTGTTTGTTTCTCGCTTTTGTTTTTACTTCAACGCGCTCGAGACTGAAGCCATAACAATGGATTAGCATCTGTATTTAAAAACAATGGAAAAGAACGAAATGGAAAGAATAGTTCTTTAACATCTGCCCCCAGACTGCGGTTTTTGACAGGCGTCCACGTGAGTTTGTGTGTTTGTTTAATAGAGGAGCCTGGGTACGCCCTCAGGTCTATAGGGGCCGTATCTCCACTGAAACTTGCTGACTTGTTTGAGAATGGCAGCCAGCGATGTGATGACTGATAAGCGAACAGTCGTGGCGTAGAACGTTGATCTGGAGACAGCCGTGACCAGCTGATCTGACATCATAATTCATATAGTTCCATACTTTATAGTAAGCAAAATTAGGATTGGTGTCCGGAGGTGTACTGTTCGTCAGCTGTGGACACTTGTATATATTCGCCATATATAGGAAATATAAACTCTAAAATAAAATTACACATATAAATAATTCCTTTGTTTTTAATTATTTATTGAAATTAAATTTAAATAGAATATCAAAACAAAAATTGTCAACTGTGTGCACATATTTATACATAGTGTGTGTGTGTTTAAATTAATAAAATAAAATTAAAAATACAATAAAATTTAAATTTAAGAAAAAATTAAGAAAAATGTTACAATACAGATATATTTATGTCTCTGTTTTTAGTTATTTAAATTAAATACTTCTTAAATACTTATATTGTTTTTTTCCTATTTTTTTGGTTTAAAAAATATAAATTAAAAATTGTATAAGTTATTTATATTTTTATAAATTATATTAAAAATATAAATTAAAATTGCATTTTTTTTCTCTTACCGTTTTTTCTTTTTCTTTTTCTATTTTATTGGTGGTATTGGTAGTGTAAATTGATCTGCTCCAATGCTGTTTAATGCTATTACCCTCACCAAGAGGTACAAAATCATTTTTGGTACCAGATAAAATGTGATTGTTAGATAAGACTGTAAGATATTGTCGCTTAAATCTCTTCAATTTTGTTTTAGTTTGTAACTTTAAAGTAGCTTCCTACTGTTCATTATGGGTAGTTTATATCGTAGCAAGTACATTTCCCAATAACCTTGCCCAATACTTATCTCCAACACTATTTTCTCGAAGGTATTTGCTTGACAATCATCGCTAACCAAGTACACACTTTTAGTGCGTAGTAGAAGTATACAAACTGGGATGCGGCCCAGTGATGCTGGGGAGCTGTTGGCCGATTCGGGACCGGTGGCGACATCGAGGTCCAAGTGATTTGAGACGGGTATCGTCACAGGAGTCTGAGGCCTGGCAGAACAGGGTGAGCGGAGGGGATGATAAGAAGCAAATGAGATAATAAAAAGGTGTTGATGGTGCCATGTGACTGTGATGTGGAAAACCGCAACTGTCTGGGGCTCCTGAACTCAATCCCAAGGTTATTAATGTGTCCGCTGGCATCTGGGTCCAGGCGAGGGACATAAACACCACGCTGTTCTCTCACAGTAGCGTCCTGTGCTTGTCTCATTGGCAGCTTGTGACCGCTCGGCCCTCACACGCATAGACACACCGTATCCTGCTTAGTTGAGTGAATCTTATGCATGAATTCAGCCATTGTGCGCCAGAGAAATATTTTTATCAGAATGTACCACTACTATTTATACCCCGAACACAATGGAGGCTCTGGTGGGCTGCCTGGACCCTCTCTTCACGTACCACTTGACCTGTCCACCCGTCCACGGCCTTTATGGATGTTTGGGTGACATAATCTTAAAGTTGAGCTGTAAATGGGTGAAGCTCACACAAAATCTGTCAAGAACATTTTAAGGTCATATTTCACCTGAAAATAATTATGATGAAAAAGTAAATTAAATTAGTCTTAAAATAAATTATGTTTAATATTATTTTATTTTATCTGAAATGTGACTAAATTTGGCTTAAATAAAATTAGTCTTAAATTTCTATTTTATTTTAGATATAAGATTTTATAATTTAATTTTTAGTGTGAAATGTGACCTTATTTATTTGTTTGTTTGTTTATTGGTGATTCACACAGTACCCATAAAAATAGTAATAAATAAAAAAAAATAAAACAACACAATATTCTTATATATTTCTCGTCTAGAGCTTCAAAGGTGATTGTAAGAATTTCTCAATCTGTGCTCAGTTTTGCCAAGATACCAAAATCAGAAGATCTCACCTCACATTTTCATAGCTCTTTACTCTTACTGTATGTCAACTGTTGACTGATTAGTCGTTTTTATTTCTCATAATGATTTTAGAAGGAACTTTAAAACAAAGTTGATGCCTAATGAAGCAACTGGGAACTAATGAAGCGCACGCAACCTCTGAACAATTTTTACCATCACTAGCCAAGCTATAGTCCATGTTATTTGTACATGACTAGTTTTCCTATCTCCATATTCTCCAAAAATATACAATATCCTTTATAGTGTTTGTCAGATTTGACCAACCAAATCCCAGTAACGTTCCAGTATCCAGGCTGACTCTACTCTGTGCAAGCGCTCACTGTTTATGGTAAGACAGTGGAAGCAATGCAATTGGACAAATACAAGCACTTTTTCAGGTCTTCAAGGCCCAGAGAGCATTACACTGTCAGTGTGGCTGCCCAATGCAAAGTGTTTATTGTTGTGTTTTTGTTCTATAATGCAACAGCATTAATGCTAATACCTCTGTTGACTTTTTTCGGGTTGGTTGCATGTTGATTTTTTTTTTTTTTGTGGCTCGTTCTTTGGCTCAGTGGGATTTGTTTGCCGTTTTATCCACAGATGTTTGATTGAGGATTATTTTACGATAGTGCGCTTAATGGCTGCGATAAGGTGTGTGCGTGTTTGAAGCGCGTCGGGCTACAGACATCACAGCAGGAACAGGACTCAAATCCCCACGTGTGCAAATAAAGCAAAATGCGACAATAAACATGGCAGAGGAACAAGGTGAGCTGTGATGAGCCTCTCTCACTCGCTCGCTCTCTGGGGTTTTACATGGGGTTTGGGAGGAGCAAGAACATGGGACAACAGAAATGCTGAGTTATCTTTGCCATGCAGCGCTCTGGTGTGACTCTGGCTCCTGCTCCGTGTGTGTGTGTGTGTGTGTGTGTGCTGGGTAATCCTGTGGAAATGAAAGGTGCTGCCACACACTGGCCTGGAGATTACGGCATCACGTTTGTAAGTGTGCCAGGACTCGACTGCTGGAACACACACTAGAGCTCCCTTTTCCTCTTTTCTTTTCCTAAAACTAGGATTTGACCACGCTTTATATTAGGAATGGGAATCATAAGGAATTTAATGGTTCCAGTTCCTTAACCAATCCATTAATGCTTCTTCTAGTACTTTTCAGATAGAAACTCCTCTCTCAAACTAAACAAAATCAATAATATTTAGCATATACACAGTACATATTTTTGTTTGTTTACTGCATTAGTTATGAAGGTATTGCGTGAGAAGTTATTAAACTTGTTCGTTTGACTTATGAATATTGATTGTGCGATTACGTTCACATAAATGTTTTGTTTTTGCATTGCAGCCATGCATAGTATAACTCAAAATATAATAATTATCTTCTAAACAGTAGGGTAGGGAAGGCGTAATGTTAAAATGATAACTATACTCTTTATGTAATGTTCCACCCTATGTGACGTATAAGAAAAAAGAAAAATGTTCAATGAATACAAAATGGGGAAAAAATTGTTCAAAGGTTTGAGTCCATTAAGATTTGTAATACTTTTATTCATTGCATTAAATTGATCAAAAGTGACAGTTAAGACAAAAGAAAGATTTCTATTTTAAATAAATGCTGTTCTTTTGAACATTGTATTCATGAAAGAATCCTGAAATAAAAAAATATGCAACAATTTCCACCGATATATTAAGCAGCACAACGGTTTTCAACATTGATAATAATCAGAAATGTTTCTTGAGCTGCAAATCAGAATGATTTCTGAAGGATCATGTGACACTGATGCTGAAAATTCAGCTTTGCCTCACAGGAATAAATTACATTTCAAATTCTATTCAAATGGCAGGAATAAATTACATTTTAAAATATATTCACATAGAATACAGTTATTTTAAATTGTAAAAATATTTCACAATTTTTATTACATTTTTAATCAAATAAATGCAGCTTTGGTGAGCATGAGAGACTTCTGACCAACCCCAAACCTTTGAAACCTAGAATACATGACATGAAACATGAAGGTTTTTTTCATTTTAACTGGAATTTGTTAAGTCGACTTGTTTCTTTTCACATCTGATGTGTTGTCTTCATGTTCTCCTGCAGGGCTGGCTCTGTGAATTGCTGCGTTGGAAAGAGGACCCGTCTCCGGAGAACCGCACGCTCTGGGAGAACCTGTCCATGATCCGCCGGTTCCTCAGTTTGTCCCAAGTGGAACGTGACGCTATATATGAGCAGGAGAGCAACGGAGGACCGCAGCACCATGTGGACAGACCTCCTCACCTGCTGCACATGCCCACCGACCCATTACAGGTCAGTGTCACAAACACACACAATATACACTCTGAAAAAAAGGTACAAAAGCTGTGGGCCGGTACCCTTTCAAAAGGAACACCTTTTTCCATTATTTACACCTAAAAAGTGCATTTTAGTACCTTAAATGTACACATTAGTACCTCAGGTGTACATATTAGTAACTAAATGCGACAGCTTTTGCACCTTTTTTTCCTGAGAGTGTAGTATTCGAGTTATTTTTCCTGGCATTTCAAAATGGTTTTCATATGGTAACCATATGGTAAGGCCTTATTTATTTTTACCAAAAACGTGTCTAATTAAGTCTGTTTTGATCATTTGAAGTTTGGAGGTGCTGTAGAACTTTTTCAAACGCTGGTAATTTTGCGCTCCGCTGCTGTGTAAGCAAAACAGTCATTAGCAACATAATTTGTCTGCATTTAGATATTAAGGACAGCTAGCTATTTGAATAAATTCATCACTATTCCGAATCCATATTTAATCACAAAAATCCCACAGTTCTTGTGGTTACAGCTGCGTGTTTGATCAGATATTATTTTGTTTACTCGCAAGCATATGGTCATTCCAAGAAAATAACATGCGGCGGGGAAGAAAAACATTTATTCACTTCCATTTTCACCACTTAAGGCGACGAGATACGTGCATGGCTGCTGGAGGTGTGCAGATGTCTATTAAAACATGTGGTTACACTTGACAATACGGTTTCATTAATTAACATTAGTTAACCACAGTAGTTAACATTAAACTAAAAATGAACATACTTCCACGGCATGTTAGTTCATGTTCATTTCAGCATTTACAACTACATTGAAAAAATTGGTGTAGAAAAAAAAAATTAACTCAGAAATTGCACAAATAATTATATATATGGCAAGAAACATTGAATTAAACATGAAAGTTTGAACTAGAAAGACTGAAGTAGTATTTTCTTTTAAAGTAGTATTTTTTTTTTTAGTTATGCAACTCTGAAAAATAATTGTCATTTGCACATATTTCACATGGTTGGTTAGTTTGTTAACTAATGAATTGACTAATGTCAAGACCTTACTGTAGTGTCATCAAGCATTTAAATAAATACAACTGTAAATGCATGCATAATAAAGCCATAAAACATGAGATTACGTACAGTACTGTGATTTTCCCATGGTTAAAAAGATCTTAATCACAACGTGAAGCTAATTCCATAGACTTTCATTGAATGAGGGAACTTGGTATCATAGGAACACCTTAGCATTATGATAGAAACTTCTGCATCAGTATGTTTCAAAATGTAAAATTGTACTTCAACATTAATTTAACGCATGTCAGATGTACAGAAATCCTTCTGTGCATCATGCTCATGTACATTTATTTCTGCTCATTGTATTCCAGTGTCTTTGATATGTTATCAGGAGACTGGCATATTTACAAAAACTGTTATCAAGCGTTCCCGTTCCTCTTGGGAATGTCCCAGGAAAAGCAGTCTGTATAGTGTATGGAAAACAGCAGCTGCCGGTTACAATGGCCTAAACTCGCAAACAATGGTGCATTTCAGAGCAAATGTGTCATATGTTTACACCGACGTGAAAGTGGCCTAAACACAGACACCGATAGCGCTCACACTCCGCACATCTCTCGCGATGAGATCTTGCCACATATTGAGGCTGTATTTACCACGTTAAGCAACAGCTTTTGAATAGGGCTTGATAAGCAATCAACAGAGCGGCACTTTTTATGCGAATATTCTGATGAAAGAGTTCACATTCGTGTTAACAGCCGAGCATTAACAGGAACCAGTAAAGCTATAAAATCCGCACATCTGATTGCTAGAGGTGGGTGACGTAACCAAAATCATATATCATAATATGAGTCATTTTATAGCACGGTAATGGCATATATCACAATATGGTTATTTTTGCTGGAAATTCAGCTAGAAACTTTTCTTTTTCATCTGGCCGTCTCTCTCTCTCTCTCTCACACTTAAATTTATTTATTTTTTTAATTTATTTCATTTATTATTTTAGGAACTTAATGCGAAAAATGTCAAATTATAAAACACAAGTTCAAAACATAAAACTCAGAAGAGTAACTTTGATTCAAAAAGAGAAAGACTCATTCAAAACTTTTGTAAATCAACTAACTTGTTAATTGGATATGAAAGAATTTTAACATGGAAAAACAACTTGTAGCTATTTTATTTTATAATTGTAATGAACTAAAACCAATACATATATAAATTAATAGATTCATTCCTAGCAAATGAGTAATTCTGACATTATTGCCAAAACTTCAAATTATTAAACTTTATAACAAAAGACAACAGTAAAACTAACATTATAATTGGATATGTGAAAGAATTTTAAAATGGGAAACCTGTGTTGGACATTTAGCATGTTTCTCATTTTATTTCATTATTTAAATAGACTCATGAAAAGCATAACTTGAGTTTGACATGTAGCAGGTTTATTATTTTATTTTACTCAAACCAATAGGACAAATAAAGTCTAAAAATGATTAAGTCTAAAATTAGTGCAACAATCTCAAATTAATAAACACTTTTAAAAAATGTAAATGTATAGTTCGGATTCATTCAAAAGTTATGTGGTTGGACACTACAAATATTTTATTTTTGTTTTATTAAAATAATGGACTTCAACCAATAGATCAAATTATTCCAAACAAATAAATAAATGCACATCATGGCAAAAAATATTATTAATGGACGCTTGAGTTCAGATACATTCAGAACTGTTGTAAAATAGCTTATGCGATTGGATACGAAAAAGTATTTTAAGAGTTTGACATGTAGCATATTTGTCTCTCGCCCCTCTCAGACTCATCAACAGCCTTCCTCTCAGCTCCAAGTGCCGCTGCCCCTGCCGCACCCCTCACAGCCTCCTCTATCCCAGCATCCCCTGCAGCAGACGGGACCGCGGCTGCCCCCGCGGCAGCCCTCCGCGGCTTCGCCCGCCGAGACCGAGGACGAGAGCCGCTGCAAGAGCCGCCAAGGCAACCGCATCTCCATGGAGGCGCTGGGCATCCTGCAGAGTTTCATTCAGGACGTGGGCCTGTATCCAGACGAGGAGGCAATCCACACGCTCTCGGCACAGCTGGACCTGCCCAAACACACCATCATCAAGTTCTTCCAGAACCAGCGCTTCTACATCAACCACGCCGGCAAGCTGAAAGAGCCGCCCCTGGGGCCATTCCCCTCCAACAACAACAACAAGGACGAGGGCCTGACGGACTTCAAGGGGGACGAGCTGCTGACCGAGCTGGACGAGAGCGTGCAGACCAACAGCACCATGTTCTCCATTAAAATGGAAGAGCACCTGATGCACGAAACGCACGCCATGAGACAGGCCCAAACTGAGCAGGAGGCCAAAGAGTAACGGACGGCATTCTTTTGCTTCTGGTGTTATTCTCGTTCACTCTTGTCTGTGTTCCATGAGCGAAACTGTAAGACTTTTTACACGAGACTGAATAATACAGAGATGATTAACTTTCACAGTTTTGTAAAGCGTGGACTATTTCACTGTAAAGACTCGTGCATCATTTCAATAATCTGCACAACGAAACGAAATGTAAAAAGAAAAATCCTAAAGGAATAGTTCACTCCTAAATGAAAATGTTGTTTCCTTTCAAGTGAATGGCGACTTGGGCTGTCAAGCTCCGAAATGCACAAAGGCACAATAAAATAAGTTTTATGAAAGTCATTTTATGACAGGGTAATGGTATATATCACAATATGATTTTTTTTTATTTAGGGTTTTTTTTTTTTTTTGGTTTTGTGATTTTATTATTTTAAATTATTATTTTTTTATTAACCTAATGGACTAAGACCAATAGTACAAATTATTCATAACAAATATACCATGGTATGAGTAATTTTATATCACGTTAAGAGTAAAAATATCACAAATTGGTTATCCAAACTGCGTTGATGGCCCCAGTTCTCATTCACTTGCATTATATAGAAAAGAGCGGCCAGGCTGTTCTTCGGAAGTCACTTTCTGACAGAATTTTCATGTTTGCGTGAACCATTCCTGCAAGCAAACAGTATGTTGCTGACTGCACTTGTTGTCTGTTGTTTTTACACTGATTTTGAGCTACTGATTTAAAAAAAAGGAAAGTCAATGGAGTTTGATAGACTTTGATGTTTACGTATGTGATGTTAACTGGATTTTTTAAGGAAAAAAATGCATGACATTGGAGAAGAGGGGTAGACAAAGGCCTTAATGATGAGGTACTGAGTCGAGCACTGCTGGCTAACGAGTTCTCTTTGAGAGAGAGAGAGAGAGAGAGAGAGAGAGAAAGGATGGCTCGGTCTCTGGATTACCAAGATTGAGCCGTTTTCCCTCAGTTTACCTGCCCCCTACGACCTGCAGGAAAAGGAAAACGGCTCAATCTTATTTGGTTGGAAGAAATATAAATATATATAGACATATATTAATTGTAAAAAAGTATACAGTCTTAAAGAAACTATGCCAACAAATGCCTTGTACTATATGGCACTGCCGATGTTAAGATTATTTTGCAAAACTTTGGTCACTGTAAAATCCTGGATTCCCAAAGTTTCAAATGTGAATCACAAGCATCGTCTCGCATTATTTATTTTGCGTTCTGATGTTGTTACGTTTGGGGAACGTTTCCATCACCCGGCGCTCTTCGTTTTACTGATCTTTTTCTATTTATAATTGTAATTTTGATGGGCAGTAAAATCAGAAGTGTCTTAACGTTTTAAATGGAAAATGTGCTTTAACGGTTGCCTAAAAAAGTGCTGTATGTCAAGCAACTCATGCTACGAGCTTCACAATTAATGTTGTATGCAATTTTTACTATCATGCAAATAAGCTTAGGTAAATGACTAACCTATAGAGACCACCTTAGAGAGAAAAACATATGCAATTTGTGTGAAATCGATGTTTGCAATGTGTCTTCCTTTGGTTAACGACCCAATTCAAAGCTATTCCTGTATAAATATGATGTATAAAAAAAAGTGGTTCTTTTTTATGAGTTTATTGCAATGAGAACACCAGTTATTTTGTTACGACTGACTGTTTTATAAGTGTTTCTCGGTTTCTTTATGCAGAAATGTTCTAACTAGGAGTGGTTACTGATTGTTAATGACACAATTAAACTGTTTGTATCGTACTCCGAATCTTTGCGTTAATGTGCATTCGAGAATATTCCAGTCAGACGAGCGCTTCTTCTGCGAGGAACCAACTCCCGGGCGGAAGGCGGGATGAAGTCGTATTAGAAGCGTGTTTAAGGGTAAATAGACGGCAGGTGTTAAGGCCCTGTTAATGAGCTGATCTGCGGGGATTGGAGGTGTAAAGCTGTGAAGGTGCTTTGACTTCCCTACGAACTCCAGGTGAAGCTCTGAGACGGTATGGAAATCTGTCTCGCCCATATGGAGGTAAATCATCGGTGACCTCTGTGATCACGGGTTGCCTGAAAACATCACTGTGGTGTTTGCAGGCGTTTTTTAGAGATGATGGAAGGAGAAATAACCTACTTTGTTGCTTTTGACTTCAGGATGAGGGTAAGTTTAAATGGAAATAGCTCTAAAAACAATTCAACGTACAGCACAGTAAATGACTTGTTTTGCTTTTCTTAGAAACTCTGTATATGCATATACATGTGGCAGGAGATGAAGGCGAGTACCTATGTACATAACTGTAATATATGAAACACGGTAAATACACAATTTTGCAGTTGTGCGAGTTGTTTGCTAAACTGAGCACAACCGTTTGTTGTCGAACTCACAGCAGTTCATTATTATTGCAAGTGGGGAAATAACTTTTTTTCTTTTAAAGTATGTGAAGTTAAATATTTAAATGTGTACTGTACACTAGCAGGTATCAAATTTCATGAAAATGTTAAATAAAATTCCTTACACCATAGAGGCCCTCGACTGAAATGTGTTCCAGTGACAGACAAGCTTCTCCTGTTTGTATTTTAGATCATAAAATTTCAACTTTGAAATGAATCTGATAAGATCACTTGAATGTTCTTAATATACTATATATTTTTTCACTACAAACCCTAAAAACCAATTAATGTTTTGATTTCAGAACATTACACCACATTAAAATGTATATTAATAGCAAAAACAAATCTGCATATAAATCTTTGAAACAAACACTACTATGTCGTACTATCAAACAATAATATGAATATGAAAATAAATATATATATATAAAAAAAAAGCTAGTTGCCAAGGTAATTTTTCTCATTTTCATTTAGTTCAAATTGAAGTACTAAATTAACAAACTAAAAATATAAATATGAGCATATTAAAAAAAAAAAGAAAAATTAACATAATACTATTCATTTCAAAAAATCATATTTATTAAGTTTTTAATTTTATTTTCAGATACTTGTGATATTTATTTTCTGTCACAAGTATGAATACAACACAAAATATACTCTGTGTATTATTATTGTATTATTATTATTACATTATAAAAAAAGACACATTACCCTTTTTCCCAATTTTGTGTTTAAAAAAAAAAAAAAACTGTATTAGGTAGTCCAGATGTTAAACATGGTGGATGACATCTTGGAATTTGCATGCAGGAATTTAGCATATGTAGCCTACAGTATACATACTACATACTGCAGAAAGAATAGTATGTTAGTATGCTTTTCCGATCAAAACCATGCTTTGAGAATACTCAACTCAATATTTTACCTGGAGAATAAATGAAGACTCAACAGGTTGACACGATAATGGCAGGTTTTGCCTCATAGTGGGAGTATGCAACAATCACCCATCAGCCCTTTGGGACTGCGCAGTAAATCAAACAGGAAATGCAGCAGAAACACTAATAAAAGGTATTATGATGTGATCTTTATGGAACTGCTCTGTGAAAATAAGTTCTCTGGCTTATGGCACTCCGTTCACTAACTCCAGCACCCCGGCTGTTGGTTTTCTTTATAGACACGGAGGCCACAGAAGGTGTGATATGGGCTCAATATTGAGTTCATGTTGCCCATGTACTTTCTTAACAAATGTTTTTGGTCTTTTTGTGAAGAATTTATCAGTGCATCAAGTGAAATTAGGCATATGGCAGATTCTACAAATGACTCAAATGCACAGGAAACTCACAAATGATTTCAATATTACACACTGACAGGCTAGATATAAAACAAGAATTTGGTTAGACTGAACTATTTTTAACTACACTTTTGGCCATCTGATAAGGACTTTTTCATCAAAATACATTCTGGGATTATGATAGGCTACCTCCTAAAGAAGCATTCACACTCTATTTACAGTGATAAGCCAGTGATTTCTGACATGGGTGACAGCATGCATTGGCCGAAGCAAGAAAAAACTAGCTCAGCGTTCTTTCTTTCTCTACTTTTTTTTATATGTAGGCTGTGCGTGTGTATGCTGTTTGCTGCAAGTGGCTTAATTTTTCACTAGGCCTAAATGAACACAAGTAAATTATTTTATTTATTTATATATAGCTATATAAAATGCAATAACCAACAATATTCACGTACTGTAGGCTACATATATTTTAATTAAAATAATGCATGAACTGACGGTGACTTCGGGAATATTTTAGTGATGACGCAAACGAATCACTGAATCAGTTTTTTAGTCGATTCATTAAAACGGATTCCCTGAACTGATTCACGGAAATGACTCAAAGGGGCTGTTTACACCTGGTCACTTCATGCGTTCTGTCTGATCGGATAGCTATCCGATCGTGAAAAGACCAGGTGTAAATGCCCTCCGAAACGCATTCGAGACGGATATAAATCCCATTGCTCAAACCACTTCAGGAGGTGGTCTGGGCCGCATTCCAGACGAAACTGGACCAGTGTAAATGCATCTGGTTGTTGAAAACACATATGAAAAAGTTACTCCTCACAAAATGTTAAAATAAACTTGTGAGAGCGTGTTATAGGCTATATGACATTATAGTCAGATATGACTGCGCTACGGTGGCCGTGAAGTGCAAAACAAATCACAATTCTGAAAACAAAATAACAAATTACAAACGCAAAGCATTTGCGTTTGTAATTTGTTATGTTGTTTTCAGAATTGTGAGTTGTTTTGCACTTCTCGGCCACCGTACTGCGCTAATACAACACGCCTCACCGCGGACGAGTAGCTGAGTATCTCTTCATCAAGCCGACGCGCAAACAGCCGCGAATGAAACAGTAAGACGCAGACGGTCAACACACAATCATCTTCAGTAAAAGTAGTAAGACAAACTTATCTTTCAAGTGCTGATGCCGCGCGCTCTCCTATTGCAGCCTTTGATCTTGAAATGAGATGATAATTAATAAAATGCAGTGCTTACTGTTTGATTTCGTTGACGTGAACTCCGTTACATTTACATTTAGCGCGGGAACTGAAGATCGGATTCATATCCGTTTTGCGACGACATTTATGTGGCCAAGTGTAAATGGAAACGTTTTAACAAATCAGATAGATATCCGATCAGCGAAATCGCATGAAATGACCAGGTGTAAACAGGCCCATACTTACCAGTTTAAAACGCTTTGTTTTTTGTCAATTGGACACGCTGTACTCATTCACGCAACAAGAATTATTGTAGCCTACTGCGGAAGCGCGGGAGATAAGGTGACTAGGTGAGTTGTAAATATGTCAGTTAGAAATCGGTGAATGTTATATGATAGAGCTGAAAAGTTATATTCTCCTTAAAATTATAAATGACGTATTAAAAACCAGACACGTCTGACTAGACGCGCGAGGTTG